GATTGAAAATTTTGTTCGTTTTGTTCGTCTTTGATGGCTTTACTGGCCCTGCCGTAGAGCACATATTGTGATGATTAAAGCTTACAATTTTAGTTTCTCATCAGAATAAAGAAATCTTTCGATCACAAGATAGTTGGAGTTAACTTTGATAATGTGTCACCAACCCAACATCTCAAGATTCATCTTCTCAATTTCGAATCAGGAAGGCGAGTGACTGAGATTGAGTCATAATCTTTTCTTCAAAGAGCATCAAGATCCAATCTAAGGTCAACACAAGTGAGCAAGCCAAGAATCAAGATTTGACTCCAAGAGGCACATAGATAGGAATTTTGTAACTCTTAGTTTGTAGACATATGTAGTTCTCTTCTCTTTTTCTTTTGATGTAAGCAGCAAGTAACAGTAACAGCAACAACAACAACAGCAACAGTCTTAAATCCAGTGTCCGATAGTCCCAGCTACCAAATATTTCCAGAACTACATTGACATGATTCTTTTATAGCCGAGGATATGTAGGCAACCTCGGAAGCAAGGTTCGATCACCCTTTTTCTGAAAATTCTTCATTGGAGTATTATGTGAGCAAAAATTAGCCATGGCGTTCATTTTTCTTTGCACAAAAACTCTTCATGTTCTCGAGCAAAGAGGGGCAGCTATGAATACCTAATTTTTGCACGTTTTTAATTCTCCAACAAAAAACTAACTTTTAGATGGTTTTAGCTATTTTAGTTATTTTTCTTTGAACTTATTTGTGCATTTTTATGTGAATTACTTAATTAAAAAGTACCAAAAATATTTTTTACCTTTTATTTATATATCTTAGTTTGCATCTTTAAATTATATATACAAAAAAAAAATTCTTTCTACTTGTACGTTTTCTTTATGACTAAATAAGACTATAATTTCATTAGAGGGAAAAGGGATTGGGCTAGTGCATTTTAATTAAACTTGAGCCAAAATTGGCCCAAAATTTGATCCAAATTTGGCCATACCCAGTCCAATAAATGACCTACCAAGATCTGATCCAAAACGACGTAGTTTCATAATTAAACTATGTCGTTTCATTAAGTGAAACTAAGACCAAATCTCAGCCCTTTATCATACTCTGATCCAATGGTCCTCATTTGATCCTCCAAGAGGTATATAATCCCTCTAAAATCATAAAACATGGGCCATTTCTCCCATAACCCAAACCCTAGGGCTCCTTCTTCTTTCTCCTTTCCCCCCTCTGCCGCCGCCGCCCCTCTCCACGGCGCCGACGACGACCAGCCCCAAACACCCCCAAATTCGCACCATCTCCTCCTATCTCCATATCTCCAACTCAATGCCTCAAAATCCCAACCAAACTCCACGAATCTCCAAAACACCGAAACCCCAGCCACCTCTTTCTCTTCAAATTCGTCAAATTTGAGACCTCACCACCATTTAATACCTACATGAGTGTGTAGGTATTTCCATGATCTATCACATAAGTATTATTTGGAAGCCAAAATTCCAGCGACCAACACTGCCCGCCGCCTCTGCCTCCACTGCTTCTCCGTCTTTTTATTTTTCGACCCAAAGGCACTTATTTCCTTTTGACAAGACGCCGGAATCTATTGGTTTAGCATATGCCAAAAAGAAACATGTGCCTCAGGGTCGGACAACCGCCACCCATCATCTTTGGCGTCTTCAGGTACTCGAATTAGCATAAAGCGCTTTCGTTTGGTATACCCTTATCTCTTGTTTCCTTTTTATTTATTTTTTGTTTCTTTGAAGTTAGTTTAGGCCTAGTTTTAGCTTAAAACTTTTCTGTTTGTTTCTTATTCATGATGATCTTTTAGTTTGTGTATTTTCTTTGAATCAAATAGTTTAGATGTCTTAGCCGAAAACAGTAGCTCAATTTCTCAATGAATCTTATTTAGTTAGTGTTTGTGATTTAGTAGGTTGGTATGCAGTATGGTGCTCTGATTATCTGCTCATAATGATCGCTTATTTAATGAGTTTTTATTTGTTTAGATTGAGTTAGTGACTCTTTGATCTTGATTGATTGTTGGTTGCATAAATCAAATTGATTTAGCCTAGTTGGTTTGAATATTAGTTACAATGAAAGTTATTTATATTTTGGCAGTCTATAGTTGTTTAAGTTTGATTTGTATTGAGCAAGTAGTTTAGTGTTGATGGTTAAAATTTGAAGTTTAGGTTATTTTATCATAAAATAAGGTACTAGTAGCCTACTTTTTACTAGTAGGGTGGCTGAAATAATATTTTTTCTCCTTGCTTATAACATAGCAGATTTTCAGGCTGTCCTTTCACCTTTTGGACAATTTTTGAACAGTGTTTAGCACACAAAGTTAGTCTTTTGAACAAACCTTTGGTGAATCAAAGTCTGTCCAAAAAATCTGACTTTATTTGCCTATTTAAAGGGCTGCTCTTCTCTTATAGAAGATCGACCCACTCGATCTTACACTTATACACATCTTTAGAGTTGCTTGAACACACATATCTTTGAACAAAAATCAGCAGCTGAATACTTTAGTAAGCTGAAATATATGAGCTTTGTGAGTGACTCCTAGAGTGCAAAATCATTAAGAAAATAGAGCAATCGTTTGGCTATGTTCTGAGTTTGTTAGTTACTAGTTTCAAGTATCTTCGCGGGATTTTTTGGGCTGTTTCTAGCACTGATTGGCTGTTGTTACTGTTGCTAGAATTTCTGTTCATTCATCACTGATCTTTGCTTTTCTGTTATCTAGGTATTCCCTCATATGCGACTGTAATTTTCTTTAGGGTCAACAATGAATGGAAATGAAGTTATTTGAGTTCTTTTCAATTTATTATAAGCTTAAGAGCATTCTGTTTCTTGTATAGTTTTGTATGTAAGCATGCGTAATAAATTCACTATAACTTTGTATTAATGAGAAATTACTTTGTTAATCCAAGGAGGGTTTTCATGTTCTTCAAGTGATGTGTTTGTGTTATGTAATATTTTTAAATAAGGCCAAATATCTGAAGATGGCAATAGTAAGGCATTTTGAAGTGTTAAACTTAGTATTATCAAGTTCCTTCTATAGGCTATTATATTCTCCTAAGTGTCATGCGTTGAAAGTGTGTAGTAGTTAGATGAAAGGTTTAACTTACCTCCCCTTTTGGATCTCTTATCTTCTTTAAGATGTCGAAAAAAGAATAAAATAATCAGGAACAAGGTTGGTTATTTTTGCAAAGAAGATCTTCTAATTTTATTTGTCAATAAGCATAAGCTAGCCAATGTAAGTTTTTAGGAATATTTTTGCAGCAGGTTAGTTTTGGTGCAAATCATTGACCAAAAGTTTTAAAATAATCTTTTCCTTGCTTAGGAGCTTAAGGGATTTCCTAAAGAATTCAATACTTAGAAAATATATTTTCTTCCCTACAAATGTCTTTCTCTGCTCCAAGGAACAGGTTTATTACAGGAGGATTGGGTCTAAATTGGATTGTGTCCAAGTTAATCTTTTTTTTTTTTGTATATTTAAAAAAATTAAAGAATTGGTCTTGTGCTGAATTATGTTTTAATTGGACTTTGGGCCAGATTTCCTAATGCTTCCATTCACATAATAATTTCAGCTAAGCCCAAGAAGAAAATTACATCTAGCAGGCCCAATGCTTTTAAAGTTCATTTGCCCATTTTTTCCGAAAAGTTGCTGGCCCATTTGTATTTAACTCAATGGCTGCCCACTCTTTAAAATAACAAGTTGGCCCATTTTGTTTTTCTTAGTCAATTAATCTCAATAAATCAGATTTTTTTTTTATTAAAATAACTTTACAACTTAATCACCTTAGTAATTAATTTTAAGCGCTAGACAACTAGTAGTCGCGCTTAACTTTTTATTCACGGACTCGCTTGCGTAGCGTGATGTTTAACACTTAATAAATTAAATCAATAATCTTAATAGCTTAATTAATTTCTAATTTAATTAATCTCTTGCTATAATCATGGTTTTGCTTGCGTAGCGCTTTAATGGCATTTAATAATTTCCTAAACTAATTTCTTCAAACATAAATGTATTAATATCTCAAAAGTATTACAAATAATTAATTGTCATGATTTCGGATTCGCTTGCGAGGCGCGTTCATGATAAGTTAATTAATTTCATTTTCGATCACGCATTCGCTTGCGTAGTGTGGTTGACATCTTTTTATTCAAAAATATTCTTTAATTTTTCTAATAATCAAGAAATAAAAGTGGACATAGGCAAACATGAAAATCAAATAAAACACAGTTTATCCAAAAAATTAATTCAAGCCAAGTTTAAGTCAATAAAGCGACCGTGCTAGAATTACGGGACTCGGGGAATGCCTTACACCTTCTCCCCGGTCAACAGAATTCTTTATTCGGACTTTGTTTTCGCAGACCAATAATAAAAGAATTAAACCTTCTTTTGACCAGGGATTCAAATAAAAGGTGACTTGGAACAACAAAAATCAATTCCAAGTGGGAACTCTGAATAACAAAATAATCCCTATATCAAAATTGTCACTTTAATTGGAAAACTCTTTAACCTACAATCCACACAACACACATATCTTTGGGGTAGAAAAAGGGTGTGACAGTGTATGTTTAACTTATTGTTAAATTGGGTTGTTAAAATCAAAATCTTGGCAACGAATCACATCATGTGTGTATTAATCTAATTGATGACAAATTACTGCAAAGGGTAACCATCTGAATAATTATTTTCTTGATAGTTTTACCAATTTCCCAACAATTTTAAGAATATCTATTCGTGCAGAAATTTTTAAAATTGGATGGATTCAATAAGAATATATGCACTTTACAATACGTTAATGGCTTGAGTTGGCGGGCATTGAGATAGTTGTTCAAGGTCTCGCGTAACAACTTAATTTTCGCTGTGAATTTGGATATCATAATAATTTAGAATCTATAAAAAATGTTATAAGCCAATATTTGAGAAAATCATGGTTAAAAAAGTAGTTCTATGACTCTCCAAATAGTAATAGTATAACGTAAAGTAATAAAAAAGAGGATAAATACAAAGGAAATATACGACGATCACTTGGATTTCACTTAATTTTATAAATGACAATTATATGTAAAGTAAAAAAAGACGTATACAAGTAAGTTCACATACAGATATAAAATCATGACATGACCATCCACCCATAGTAAGTGAATGGATATTGCTGGTACATTTATTCATACTTCCAACGATAAAACGAAAAAACGAAAAGTGACACATAATTTAGGACAGAAAGAGTACTACACATTATATATAGACACCTTGAATATTCTTCATATATATATTCCTTAGTAAATTAATTAGTCGCGAGGCCATACTCCATACCAACCACCTCTAGGATATCCTCCATAGCCACCACCATAGCCACCATATCCACCATATCCGCCTCTTGGATAACCTCCATAATATCCACGACCACCCGGGTATCCACCATATCCACCATATCCGCCACCAGGGTATCCACCATATCCGCCTCCAGGGTATCCTCCATATCTTCCTACGGGGTATCCTCCAAATCCGCCACCTCCGACTCCTGGAAATCCTGCTCCTAAAAATTTCGAGTAATTTACATCATCATTTTTCTTTTCGGATACCTTTGCTGCACCAATATTAATCATACATGAGTTTAACTCTCATGCATTAATTATCAGTGTATAAATTTTTTCATATCGTCAAGTTAAGTTGATGTACAATAAAGGTAATTATTCATAGCAAATCGAACACCGTAAAATCAGAAAATTAAGTTGGTTTAAATGAAAAAGATTAAAACTTTTGAAATGTACTAAGCAAATATTTTACATTTAGGAAAGTGAAAAATGTCTTAAAAGAAAGGAATTATACCATTGTCCGTAGTAGTGGGGGTGCTCTCAGCCAACTCCCTAGCTGCAACTTCTGATGTTATCACAAGTAAAATAGCCAAAACAATAAGCATAAATGCCTTTGATCCCATTTTGTTTCTTAATTGAAACTATAAATCTTAATTTTATAACTACTAATTAAGTTGTGATAATTGTAAGAAGGATGAGGAAGCTAATGAAATTTTTGCTTCTATTTATAGTATAATTATCTAAACATCTTGGGGGCTATCATTGCAAATTGCATAGGACGTACCGGACTAGTTATTTAATTAAGTTGGCAGTTTTTAGACTCGATTTTTCCATAAAACAACCTACAAATGATTTCACTTAAATAACTATAAATGGCATATTCCTTTAGCTAGGGCAAAGTAAATATATACATGGCTGAGAATTGAACATATCATGCTGTTTGTGTTTGCTATTTGGATATCTTTTTTGTATTACATAATCTAACCTAACGAATTGAGTTATGCAATATATCAAAATTGTAATAAAAGTCTTGAGTTATACTAGCAAGAAATATTATGTTAATTAAGGTGGTATTTCTTCCAAACAGTAGTTTTCAAAATTTAACGTACCACTAACAGCAAATTATATTTATAAGCTTATTGAAGAAAATAGACAAGAAAAAAAGAACAAGAAATGCGCATGGAAAAAATAATATATATGATAGGGTACTTAATTTGTTTGAGTGAATGAGATGAGAAATTTTCACAAAAGAGAGATGTAACAAAATGTTGAAGTGCATATATAATTATATATTTTCAACATTGCCCTTCATGTGCGGGCTTGATTTTTTTCTATGAGTCAAGCAAATGGAATTTATTTTTATAAATAAAAGGTGGGAGTGAGACTCGAACTCAGGATATTTTACTATGATATATACCATGTCAAAGTGTGTAACAATTTTATCTCAAAGTTTAAGCTGTTAAAGGGAGCACACTTTTATTTACTTAATTATATCTTCAAAAAAAAAAGGGAAAAAGGGTAAATTGAACAAAGGAACATAGTACAAACCAAACCATATGTAGAAGAACTAAACTTGATCAGATTAGAATCAAACTAAAATGTAAACATTGATGTTAAAACTGAGTGATTGTAAATTGTAGTTGTGGTACTAAGCCTATTCTAGCCTAAGCTAATACAAAATTTTCTAACCAACCCCACCAGATTAAACCCTCTAAACTTGGCCACCAATAGGCACAATTTATCCTCTAGTTAGAATTCAGTTAGCTTTGAAGGTATCTTTAGGAATCTGTTATTTAGTTATTAATTTGTTTTAGATTTGTTATGTTTGTTACACAATCTGTGCCAGTTACATCCTTAGGCTATTATGAAAGAGTGGGGCTCAAGTAGACTAAGGATGTAACTGGCACACATTGTGTAAAGAACTTGAGGATAGAAGACCTAGTTTAACTATCAAATTAATAAGTCAGGCGGGAATCTTAATAGCGCAGTTGGTTAGTTATCTGAACTTTCACCTTGGTAAAGATTGATTCCCCACCTTGTAAGCTGAATGAGTTCAATATTTAAATTCTTAGGGTCCATAACTATTATTTGTTGTAATTTTAACGAATTTTTGTTCATAAAGTCATGCTTCGCATTAAAAATATCGGGTAAAGATGAACTCGGTCTAGAAGCTGCTCAAGAATGGACCAAATACAAATGCCAGAAAAAGGGTGGAACTTTGTTAATGTTTTGATCATATGCAACAGTGAGGTGCCCTCCCATTTTTTTTTTTGGAAGCTTAGTTGTGTATTCCTAGTTTAGTTATCCGAGACAAGGTGGGAGTGATCCCTGTAGAGGATAAGATGTGGGAAGATAAGCGTGCTGAGATGGTACGGACATGTGAAGAGGGGGAGTATAGATGCCCCAATGAGGAGGTGCGAGAGGTTGGTCATGGTGGGGTTGAGGAGAGGTAGAGGTAGGCCTAGGAAGTATTGGGGAGAGGTGATTAGGTATGACATGGCACACCTTCAGCTTACTGAGGACATGACTCTTGATAGGAGGGTGTGAAGGTTGGGAATTAAGGTAGAAGATTAGTAGTTAGGCGGGAGTGTCTCGTTTTCATGTCGATAGCATTAGTATTAATCTTTTATTTTCATACCTTCATATCCGTAGGTTTCTTTTACATTATGTTGATCCTTTCGCTTCGATTATTATATCACCATGTTTCCCTATCACCTTATCTTGTTGATGTTACTATGTGTTGTGTCTGTCTCTTTTACTTTTATCTTGAGTCGGGGGTCTATTGGAAACAGTCTTTCTACTTTTACAAGGTAGGGGTAAGGTCTGCGTGCGCTTTACCCCCTCCCCCTCCCAAATCCTACTTTGTAAGATTACACTAGATTTGTTGTTGTTGTAGTTGTGTATTCCTAGTTATTTACATACTAGGATCTAATGTAACTGTTAATTAAAAGCCATAGGTGTACACTCCACGAATGTACAAAAGATAATATTTCCCACTTGTATAATGTTATTGTGTTGGGAAATATAAAAAATGAACTCTTTTATTATGATAGACATATTTTATCTGCTCATGTAATTGAAAAAATTCTGCGTCAGAACAACTATTTTCTGGATTGTTTGACCAATTTCCCAACAGCTTTAAGAAGTTCTATTTGCGAAGAAAATTTTAAAATAGGACGGATTCAATAAGAATATATGAACTTGATTAATACTTTGACGGCTTGAGTTGGCCGGGGTTGTGAACTTGAGATAGTGAAGCAAATTTTAATGACTTATTTTAAATCACAAATATTAAAATATTTTATTTCTTTCTTAAACTCTATATGCAATCAAACAATCTCAATTAAAATGGGACACAAAAAGTATTATAAGTAGATACTTGAGAATATCATGGCAAAGAAAAACCTCTTTTGGCTCTTTAAATAATAATAGTATATAACAATACATACAAAGGAAATATATGACTTCCAATTACATGTAAGGGAAAAAGGAAATCCACTCTTATTCATCCTTTCAACAACAAAAAAAACTATTACTAAACACACATTGTATAAATAGCCACCCTGAACATTCTTCATATATATATATNCCACCAGGAAATCCCCCATATCCTCTTCCTGGATAACCTCCATAGTATCCACCGCCGCTACCACCGGGATATCCACCATAGCCACCACCAGGATATACTCCATATCCTCCTCCACGATATCCACCAAACCTGCCTCCTCCGAATCCTGGAAATCCGCCTCCTCCGAATCCTGGAAATCCGCCTCCTACAAGTTTTGCGTCATTTTCCGCATTTGTCTTCTCGAATACCATTGCTGCACGCACCAACAATAATCACGCATATGCATGTTAGGTCGATAGTTTTTTTTTTGGGTTAACAACCTGTGTTCGGTAATCGTATTTGGGTCGAACTAAATCCAGATTTGCGATAGGAAGTCCCATATTGGGGTAAAAAGCTTCATGACAAAGGCAACTCCAAAGTACTTACCACTTCATCACAACCGTTGTCGGTAGATCGATAGTTACTATGATACTTTATTTGTTCATTTAGATTAGTCTAGTGGTTAAGAACTGAAGTAAATGCAAACTAAACCGAGTCTAGCTAATAGCAGAAAATGATTTTTTTTCGTGAAAAATATTTCTTAGAAAATTACTTTTGTCATACCAAAAACAACTTTATGTGAAAATGTCTTAAAAGGAAAGAAGCTTACCGTTGGAGCTGCCAGCTAACTCCCTAGCTGCAACCTCTGATGTTATTACAAAAATAGCCAAAGAAATGGCTAGAACCATAAATGTCTTTGATCCCATAATTTCTTTTTTTGCTTGAGGAAACTAGTGAAAACTTTCGCCTCTATTTATAGTATAATCATATGAACATTTTGGTGGCAAATATTGAACATTGTATTAATGGAGCACGTACCGGACTAATTATTAATTAAGCTGGCTGCTAATAAATAGATTTTTTACAGTCGACTTTTTTTATAAAGCTAGCACCTATATATAGCGTGCTTAATTTCTCTTAAATTTATTGCAATTCCTTTAAGGGCAATTTATATGATCTGGTTCAGAATTGATCATAACATTCTGTTTGCATTTGCTAGTCTGGTTACAGTTACTGTTAGAAATATTATCTTAATTAAGGTGGTTTTTCTTTCAAACAATAGTTTCAATAAATTAAACGTACCACCAACAGAAAATTATAATTATAATCTTACTCTAAAGAAAATAGAGAAGAAAAAGAACAGGAAATGTGCATGTTGAAAACAATATGAAAGGGTATATATGAGGTACTTTTTAGAGTGAAATGAGAAATTTTCCCTAAAGAAAAATGGAACAGAAAAGAAAAAGAAAATAGAACACAAAACTATATCTAGAAGAACTAAAATTGATCAGATTAGAATAAAAATAAAATGTAAACATAATGATGTTAAAACTGAGTAAATGTAATACACAATTCTTTTAAGCTCCGAGGCACGCCCACTAGATTTGTGGTACTAGCTATATATTTTATTTTTATAATCGTGGTGTTCGGGTTATTTTTGACAAGAGTGGGTTGATTTAGTAGTGAGCACCCTCCACTTCCAACCAAGTAGTTGTGAATTCGAGTCACCCCAAGAGCAAGGTGTGGAGTTCTTGGAGGGAGGGAGCCGAGGGTCTATCGGAAACAACCTCTCTACCCCAGGGTAGGGGTAAGGTCTGCGTACACACTATTCTCCCCAGATCCACTAATGAGATTATACTGTGTTGTTATTATTGTTGTTGTGTTTGGGTTCGATTACGTACACCTTAACTAATTTCACGAGGTACTTCTACTACCAGAAACTTTCTGGTCCTAGCTACATAGATCGTCTTTATTAACTAGCCAGCTAAGCTAATACTACAAAATTTCTAACCAACCCCACTAAATTAAGCCCTCTAAAGATAGCCACCAGCACAAAAGCTCTTTGGAAGCCGCCGAGGGTGAATTATGAGTAAATCTAGCTTATTAGCACAAGTCTATGTTTAGCATATCTATATTTATCCTCTAGTTGCAATGTAGTTAGAGTTCAGTTAGCTTTAAACGTTCTTTAGAAATCTGTTATTTATCTCACACTCTACGTGCCATTGCTATTAACAACAACAACAACATACCCAGTATTATCCCATACTGTGGAGTATGAAAAGGGTAGTGTGTACGCAGACCTTACCCCTATCTTGTGAGGATAGAGATATTATTTTCAATAGACCCTCGGGCCTTTGCTATTAAAGGAAACTTAATTTCTGTCTCCGGATATTGCCACCAAAGCGTCCAGATAATGTTTTAATAAAAAGTAGAAGAATTAATTTAAATAGCCGCCTCTGTGCTTAAATGTAAAATAGCTAACAGATGTATAATATATATAGTTCATGTATAATTCATATAATATATGTATACTGGCTAGAAAAAGTAAACAAAGAATGCGATAGGCTATTTGTGTAAAGATACTACTCGGCTAACTGTGATCATATGATCTCAAGGTTTTCGTTAAGGAGAGAAATGAAGTTGTGGTACTACCTATATTAATCACCTTATTGACTAGCGTAAGCGAAGACAACATTTTCTAACCATATACTATTCGTTTTCTAACCAAATTATAGAGTTGACAAATAAACCTTATTTGTAGTAGTATGCCTAACTCGTGCAAGTGTAAACGGGTTGAATTATGATAATTTTGTTGACTTGATCCAATATTGCGAGTTGGATCCACAATAATCAAATGCTCAAAATTATCTAACTTTGGAATAATTTAAAGTAATAATACATTGATACTCGCATTCTTTTCAAGAAGCAAAATAAAATAAGAGGGGAGATTGGATGATGTTGTGCAAGTTAGATGGGATCTTTATACAAATAGCATGTTGGATTCACTATTTACTTTATCTAGGCGATATATATAGATTATACATTGATATGATTATACGCATATTAGACATGAATTGATATTTATGGCCTCCATTGCACGTAGTCAAATTATATAGGGATGAATCTATATATAGTACTAATGAAAATTTTAGCAAGCATTTAAAGTAATTGTGAAAAAATGATAAAAAAAAAGTTTAAAATTAGAATATATATAGTTTAGTAATTACTAAATATCAATTTTTAAAAGTTGGAGAAAATTATATATAAATAAAATCATGTCAAACATTTTAAATTCAGGATCTCTTGATTGCTCGGATGCTATTATGTAACAATCTATCTGAACGCTTGAAGTATTATAGAGAGTACACATATAATAAGTTAATTAATTATAATTATGTTTCAACAATTACACTCAAATATATAGATGAACAGTACAGGCAAATGAAAAAGATACATTTATTCATACTTCCAACACCAAAACTATTACTAAAAAAACACAATATATAGCCACCATTGAATCTTCATATTCCATAGTAATTAGTTGTGAGGCTTAGCTTCAGTGACCAGGGCTTCACCTTTGTCGTAGCAGCACCTCCTGCAGCCATTGTAATCGCGGCGGCCGCAACAACCATAACGGCAATATTCGCCTCCATAACCTCCACGTCCACGTCCACGTCCACCACCAGGGTACCCACCATACCCGCCTCCAGGGTACCCTCGGTACCCACCTCCGGGGTACCCTCCATAACCGCCTCCAGGGTACCCTCCATATCCTCCTCCTGGATACTTGGCGTCATTTACCTCATTTTTCTTCTCGGATTCCTTTGCTGCAAAAATAGTCATACATATGCATGTTAGGTGGATAGTCACTGTGTTATCAGAGGCGAAATCTAGAATTTAAGTTTGATCGACCTTTTAAGTCATACATATACATATACACTTATGTTTCAAGTCAAAAATATTAGATTTAGTTTAACTCAATAAACTAGGCTCCATCTAACTGTCTGACTTTGATCTTTTGTTTCTTTTTAGATTCGTCTAAAAAAAGATAATCCGGTATACAAGGTATATCACGTTCATGCAGGATCCGGGGAAGGACCGCGCCCCAAGAGGTGTGATGTTGTTAATAATATGAGTATTTCATTGATCAAGTCGTTTAGTTGAACCAATAAAATTCGCCCTAAATCTGCCTTTGATTGAGTTGATTACTATAAACCTTGTATTCTATGTAGAAAAGGTAAAAAGAAAAACTCAAGAGCTTAAACATCAAATTAATTCTTTTCCGAAAAAAAGAAAACTACAATCACTCATAAATTAAAAAAGGGCCATGGTATTTTACATTCCATGGTATTTTACATTTTGATATTATCATCAAGATTTTAAAAGAAGGAGGCTTACAGATTTCCAAAGAATTGGTGGAGCTCTCAGCCAACTCCCTAGCTGCAACATCTGAGGTTATAAACACAAAAATAGCCAAAGCAAAGCTTAGAACTACAAATGCTTTAAATCCCATTTTTTCTTACTTGAAAACTTAATAAGTACTACTTTACTTGTGATAATTTAAAGCCAAGAAAGATGAGAAAACTAATGAATAATTTGCCTCTATTTATAGCATGATCTAAACGCTGAAAAGGCAAAGATTTGAAGATGGTATTAATGGAATATCGGCCTGGTTATTAAGTTGGCAGTGAGATTAGATGGTCCATTCAGAAAGTACAGACGGAGTATTTTTTTTTTCTTTTTGGATAGCTATTCAATGGAATTATGGAAATAACATACATTATATGCTCTTTGTATTTGCTATATATGATTATATGTGGATGTATTTCTGTAAATAAACAGTTATATTTTTTCTTCTTTCTAAGGGGAAAGAGAAACCTGCTATTTACATAAATGTAATCTAGCACGTTGAGTTATATGACGTCTCACATACAACGAAATTAAAAGGAATTCATAAATATCTTGATCTAATTCACATTTATTGTTTTAAGATTTTGGATTGAATACTAGGAGCCCGTTTGGACATAAAATTTGATGGAAGATTATTCCAAAATAATTTCACTTTTTTTTCGAAATCAGCGTTTGTTCATAAAATTTCCAATTTTTAGTTGAAAATGCATTTTTGGAAATTTTCAAAAATTTGAAAAACTACAAAAAAACTGTTTTTCAAAATTTTCACTCAAATCACTCACAAAACTTCAAAAACAACGTAACTGAAATTTATGTCCAAACACAACTCTAAATTTCAAATACCATTTTCACTCGAAAATATTTTTCACCATTATTTCGAATTTTACAATTCTTATATCCAAACGCCTACTAAATCATCATAATCGCTTAGCTTTTAAAGTGCTTATTTTACTTTCAAGTAAAGTGAATTTGATTTTCAGATGAATATAAAAAGACTCGGAAAGCTGGTGTGGATACTACTTTCTCCGTTTCAATTTATGTGAATCTATTTGACTGGGCACGGAGTTTAAGAAAATAGAGAAGACTTTTGAACTTGTGGTGTAAAATGAGGCACATATATTTTGTGTGGCTATAAATCATTACATAAAGGTAAATTGTTTCCAAATAATGAAAGAGGCCATTCTTTTTGGCACGGACTAAAAATGAAATAGGTTCACATAAATTGAAACGGAGGGAGTATGTGTTTATCCGTAAAGCGGTACAGTTAAATTTGTTATGTGATTTGTAGACAAACGAACTGATTTGATCCAGAAATGGTAAATAAACAAAATTAAAAGTAAGACTTAGCGATTAAAATTGAAAAAAATAACAAGTATGGCTCCGAGAGCAGTGTCTCCGAGGACAGAAATGAGAGCAATGTAAAAGAACAAATAAAGTTGTTTAATTGAGCTTGAAAATGAAATATAGCATACGTTTTGCCAAGAATTTCGTGTGTTATAATGGTTGTTGAGCTTACTATTTATAGCTATACCTAGGGAAACAAGATCCTAGGATCAAGCCCCACTTAAATGACAATAAATGAGTCATTGATGAATATGTAACGGCAGACCATAAATGCAAATATTCTCTGCAATGGCTACCCATTTATATTAGAAAATATTCCTCATTGAATACTTTCCGATGACATATATTTGGTCTGCTCCCGTTGACCTTACTCCCTTCGGGGTTTATCCGATGTCAATTGCAGTTGTTGTTCCCGGTATTGATTATTACTTGGTTCGCCTTTTGCTTGTCTTTAGTTCCACGTGTCATGTTGTCATTCAACCATTCATTATGAATCGATTTTACCCTGTACAGATAGTCCCCCAGTTTTCCGATGACACATCTTTGTGGTATCAAGAAGTTGGTGAAGATCTCGTTCTTGGCGAGAAAGTTCCTGAACAGTTTCCGACGCTTGAAAGGACGCACGTCTTCTCGCATTTAATACCCCGAACACGTGTTGCCCTACGATTCATCAATATTTTTCTTAGTTCTCGAGGTAATCATGACCACGATGTTTGCCGTCTATATCTTTACTTTTACTTATCATTTTACCGCTTTAGTTCCAAAGTTTAAGTTTTCATAAACTCCCTTCCTTCTATGCTTTTACTCTGCATTTACGTAGAAGGTTTTCCATCTTTCTCAACGTTCTTAGTAAACAGTTTCACTGATAGCCTACTACCATGACTGCTTTCACTCCCCCTTTTGGAAACTCTGGTCTTTTCTTCAGTGGAGGCCCGAAGAGAAACAAAGACAAAGAAGCTGATGTTGATTCTGAGCCTCCCACTGTAAACACCATCATACCTTAACACTTGAGTACCGTCAATGATTTCCAAGAGAAGCTTTCATCCGCGTCCCCACGGACTTGGGTCGTTAGCAGGTACCCCTCCTCTATTCGCCCTTCCAGTATTCCTGTTGTGAAGGACGATCTGGCTATATGTCATGACCTAAAACCTAACCCGTCATGATGGCGCCTATCGTGATACTAGGCAAGTCGACCTTTCCAAAACACTTTCAAAATTTAATAGAAATGATTTAAGACATTTAAAATAACCGAATTTTTCATAAAAAATAGGGGTAAAACCCAAATAAAGTATAAGTGCGGAAAAATAGCCCGACATCGGGGTGTTACTAAGTCATGAGCATCTAATAACCAATCTCGAAACAGAGTCTACTACAGTCTGTGCCAAATGCCAATATAAGAGAGAAAAGATAATAAGAAAGGAGAAACAAAGACTACGGACGCCAGCAGCTACCTGGTAAGTCTCCGATAATCAGCCCGCGCACGAACTCAGCGACCGCCAGAACCGTACACACCTGGATCTGCACATGAAGTGCTGGGTGTAGCATGAGTACAACTAACTCAGCAAGTAACATAATTAAATAAGGAACTGAGAAGCAGTGATAAGCTATAAAAATACAGTTCATATTAAAAGTTTTCAGTAAAGAGTGAACATGCTTTCAAATCCAGTGGTATAAGTCAAATTAGTTCGAGCCTAAGTAAAACAAATATGAATATTCCATAAATTTCACAACAACATCGGACATCAACTAAGTGCAACAATAAATAAAAGCAAGTACAACATCTCAAGGCAACATTCATTCAACTCATATCATCAGCTTATACTCTCGACTCTCAGCCCTCAATACACACTCTCAATAGGTACCTGTGCTCACTAGGGGTGTACAGACTCCGGAGGGGCTCCTTCAGCCCAAGCGCTATATTTCTGCGACGCGCAGCCCGATCCAATATTGTTGCGACATACAACCCTATCCAATATTCGTTGCGGCATGCAACCCGATCCAATATTATATATATCCCGAGGGCTTGTTGCGACGTGCAACCCGATCCAATATTGTTGCGGCGTGCAACCCGATCCAATATACCTCACAGCTCGCAACTCGGCACTCAGGCCCTATCTTAGTCAGTAACCTCTCCATCCTCTCGGGCTCACACAATTTCATAATAATTAGCCCAAACAGAGAATACAACAAGTATCAACAAGAAATAAGAGGGAACAGAGATATAACACACAAGTAAGACTGTGACTGAGTACAAGACAATAATTAGCAGTCAATTCAACAAGTATTCGACCGTTTCAGGTCCCAATAGTGATATCATATGGCCTAACATGGTTTCTAACATGAAAGACTGTCAATTACTCAAAGACATGGAAAAACAAGTAATAACAATGGTTATTCGACTTTACAGCCTCACGGGACGGACCAAGTCACAATCCCTCACGGTGCACGCTCACACGCCCATCACCTAGCATGTGCGTTACCTCCAAAAATTCATATCATAAAAATTCTTTGGGTTTCATACCCTCAAAACCCGATTTAAGACTGTTACTTATCTCAACCGCGCAGAAATCCTACTCTGAAATGCCCTTGCCTCTCGAATCAGCCTCCAAATGCCCCGAATCTAGACACAAACAGTACGAGATAATCAATATTGGATAAAAGGATCAATTCCACAAGAAAATTAAACTACTAAAATATAGTCCAAAATCCGAAATCGGCTCAACCCGGCCCCGCGGGCCCACGTCTCGAAACCCGACGAAAGTCACAAAACCCGAAAGCTCATTCACTCACGAGTCTAACCATACCAAATTTATTAAAAGCCGACCTCAATTGCCTCTCCAAAACCCCAAATTTCACTCTCCAATTACCAAGCCCTAATCTCCCAAATCTCACCTCAAACACTCACCATCTAGGTGTAAAATCAGTGGGGAAATAACATTATTGAAGATAAATAGGCACAAGGAGCTTCAAAATTCCCAAAATTCGAGCTTCAAATGATGAAAATGGTGAAACATCTCTAACTGTTCTATTTATAGGTTCTCCCTAGACTTATCGCACTTGCGGCTCCATTTCCGCATCTACGGAGCCGCTTCTGCCGAAAAATCTCTAAACTAAGCCTTCGCTCCTACAATCCAATGATCGCATCTGCGGTCTTCGCGGGTGCGGGAAATACATCGCACATGCGGTCCAAACACGCACCTGCACCCCTAAATCCGCTTCTGCGACCATCGTAGGTGTGGGAATGCCATCGCACCTGCGTCCTCTGCCCATATCCTCCTTAGCCGCATTTACGTCTCCTCCTTCGCCTCTGCGGGCTCGCACCTGTGGTTCCCACTCCGCAGGTGCAGTTACACCAGTAGCAGCAGCTTCAGCTGCAATTCTTCAACTCCCATCAAGCCATCAACCACCTGAAATCACCCCGAGGCCTCCGGGACCTCAATCAATCATACCAACAAGTCATATAACCCTATGCAAACTTAGTCGAACCTTCGAATCACTCGAGACAACATCAAAACACCAATTACACCTGGATTCAAGCCTAAAGAACTTCTAAATTTTCAAATTCCACAAACGACGCTGAAACCTACCAAACCACGTCCGATTGACCTCAAATGCTACACACAAGTCAAAAATGACACCACGAACCTATTCCAACTTCCAGAAATCCAATCTAACCCCATATCAAAATTTCCATTGCCGGCCAAAATTGCCAAAATTCTATCTTTCGCCAATTCAAGCCTAATTCTACTACAGACCTCCAAATCACATTCTGGGCGTGCTCCTAAGTCCAAAATCACCTAACGAAGCTAACGAAACCATAAAAATTCAAA